GTTTATAGGTTCGAGCACCATGTCTAGCTTTGCGCTGACGGTGTGGAGCCTGCTTTGGATCTTCTGTCCCCCTCTCTGCCCCTCCCTGACTTGCGCACGCACTTTCTCTCTCAAAAATAAACATTAAAAATAAATTAAAAAAATAAAACGAAGACATTCTCCTGAATGGGAGGAGATACTTGCAAATGATATATCCAATAAAGGGTTAGTATGCAAAATATATAATGAACTTCTACAACTCAACATAAAAAAAATAATCAAAAATAGGCGTAAGACATGAATAGACATTTCTCCGAAGAAGACATCCACATGCCCAACAGACACATGAAAAGACGCTCAACATCACTCATCAGGGAAATGCAAATCAAAACCCCAAGGAGGTATCACCTCACACCTGTCAGAGTGGTTAAAATAAAAAACACAAGAAACCGCCATGGAGAAAAAGGACCCCTCGTGTACTGTTGGTGGTAATGCAGACTGGTGCAGCCACTGTGGAAAATGGTGGGCACCTGGATGGCTCAGTTGGTGAAGTATCTGGCTTCAGCTCAGGCCATAATCTCATGGTTTGTGAGTCTGAGCCCCAAGTCGGGCTCTACACTGTATTAACGGCACAGAGCCTGCTTCAGATTCTGGGTCTCCCTCTGCCCCTCCCCCGCTCACTCTCCCAAATATAAATGAATAAACATTAAAAAAAAAAAAAATAGAATTACCATATGACCCAGTAATTCCTGTACTGGGTATTTACCCAAAGAATACAAACACACTTATTCGAAATGATACATGCACCCCTATGGTTTGGGGGGGCTTAAGATTTTTTTAGGTAATCTCTATATCCAACGTGGGGCTCAAACCCAGAGCTCCGAGATCAAGAGTCACATGCTCCACTGACCCAGCGGGCCAGGGCCCCCCACCCCTATGTTTATTGCAGCATTATTTACAGTAGCCATATTATGGAAGGAGCCCAAGAGTCCCTTGAGAGATGAATGGATAAAGAAGTTGTATACATATACATTGGAACATTACTCAGCCACAAAAAAGAATGAAGTCTCGTCATCTACAACAACATGGATGGGTCTAGAGGGTATTATGCTAATCGAAATAAGCCAGAGAAAGGTAAATACCATATGGTTTCACTCATATGTGGAATTTAAAAAACAAAGGAAAAGAAAAAAAAAGACAAACCTGAAAACAGACTCTTAATTAGAACACACTGGTAGCCACCAGAAGGGAGGTGGGTGGGGGATGGGTAAATGGGTGACAGGGATTCAGAGTCCACTTAACATGATGAGCCCTGAGTAATGCACAGAATTACTGAATCACTATATTGTACATCTAAAACTAAGATAGCAAAGTATGTTACCTGTGTTGGAATTATGACTTTCAATTCATTACTTTTTAAAAAAAAGAGATGATCGCGAAGAGCTCAGCGTCTGTCAGCTCCCAGGAGGACGAGAGGCTGTCCTGTTGTCAGACAACAGGATGCAGTCTCATCACGATGCAAAGGTAGCACGTTGGCAGTTTTTCTTAAACTTTGTACCCTTCATTACTTTTTAGCCATTGGTACCTACTATAGCTGTTCTAGGTAATATGGAATAGTGCAGGGGGCGCCTGGGTGGCTCAGTCGGTTAAGCATCCGACTTCA